GTGAAAATTGATCTCTCTCTCCCCCCCCCCCCAAAAAAAAAAAAAAAATTAATGCCATGCATGTATAAATTTGTTTTGAAAAAAAAATGGCTTAAATAAGAAACATTGACCCTCAGCTTGTCAAATTTATCAGTACATTCAAAGAAACTAACTTAGTTTGTTGTTTTTTAGCCTTTTGTCACATCACATTCAGTTTTTGGTACAAAGTAAGTTGTTTTTATTCAGGTAAAATATCAGTTTTTCTTCAACTCTGTGTTTAATTCTACTCTCAGTTTAAAAAAAAACGATCCTGATTTTAATTAGTTAATAATTTACAAGTTAATTATCTTTGATCTTGGGCTAATTCTTGCATAATCAATGCAATCAAATGACAGTTTCTCAAGTTAAATCTTCTACCCTGACAGCCTGAGGCATGTTAATTAGCCAGGTGGCTCAGTGTGCTTGCGTTCAAGCGTGAAGTGATTTCCTGTCGTGAATTCACACTTGGTTGCGTTATGTAAACAAGAGATTATCAGTATGCACTGAATAAACAGAACAGCTAAGGAATACTGCCTACACTGGGAATATTTATTAATTTTTGTTAGGAAAAAAGGACATGGCGCCGAGAAAAGGGGGCATGGCTCTGTGCCTTGCTATTTTGCTTTAGATTCAACACTAAATTGATCCTTCTTCTTGAACTTTATGGTCTATTTTACAGGTCAACTTGTATAATTAAAAAAACAAAAACAAAACAATATGGCTGACCAGGAATCTTTCTCATCTGTAATCGGAAAATTTCTTAAAAACAAAAATAACGATTATAAGAAATGATTCCTAATAATTATTCTAGTAATGATCAAGGGTTTATTAAATTGATTCCATATTACTTATTAGACTTCGTACATAAATACATTTCCTCAGACTGTTAAAAATATTTTATATTTAAAAATCGGTTATCTTCGTAAATAAGGAGCTATTTGATTGGTCAGATTTTAAAATTTTTCTTTGCTTTTCTCTGATTGGTTAACGGTAAATTACCCACGCCATTTTGAAAAATAGATCGACGAACCGAATTGAGAGAGTTGGTGATGTTTAATAAAATTTAGCTAATATTCGCCGATGAAATTGGTAGAAAATAGATGTTTAGCTACAGCATGTTAGCATGGATCACATTTATAAACAAAGAAAAGCGAAAACGGAAGGAGGTTGGCGTTTTTCAAGCATCATGCCCTGGCTTTCCTGGTGTAAACAACGCCATATGCGGTAAGAATTTACATAAAATAGCACAGTAGTTTCAATTTTTAAAATGTGAAATGTAGATTAATAAATGTTATCTTTTAAAACCAATTCATAGTAGGTCAAATTAAATGCATATATATTGGATTTGTGGCGAAAGAGAGTTTTGTTATGCTACTTTCTATCTTGAATTGTATGGATAATTATGGGCTTTCAATGGCAAATGATATTATTTACATGGACCAAAAATGACTTAAAAATTAATTTCACCCTATCCCTCAGGCCTAAACATGGAATAATAACAGATAAAATCATCTTGGCATACAACCATTTAAATTTTGAAATGTGAAAGGGGGGGGGGGTAATCATTGCAACTAAGCTTCATGGATTTATGGTTTAGCATACTTATAATTTATTTCAAAAATGACTTGAGAAGAAGGTGGTAAGAAAGATTTTTTTTGGCACAAACTTATTATTTTTTATATCAATATAAGATGATCTGTATTTCCCTTGCCCAATATCAGTTTAAGATTTCAAATCAAATGACCCCCCCCCCAATAAAAGGGGGGGGGGGGGGGATAATGGCTCAATTTGTAGAATATTTTGCCATGAAAAATTCCAATGAGGTGTATTGACAGTTTTATATTTTCATTTTTTAATGCTCTGTATTTCTACCTGTTCTGCAAAACATTTATCAGTACTTTTACAGTTTGAGTGCCTCTGCAGAGCTATAGAAGAAAAGCTGTTTAGTTATAGAGGAATAGGACACCCACCCACCCTACCCCTTGAAGCATTACAGGTGTGTAACATTGACAATATCAGCTAATCATGTGAAGATTTCTTTTTGTGTGTGTCTGTGCATCTAATTTTGATATACCCCGGTACATTTTGATATTCTATTTTGTAGATTATGCAGGACCAAGCAGGATGACAGTGAGAAAACTGGAGATGTACTTCTTCAACAAAGTAAAGTGCTGTGCAAAAGAAACCCCAAAGCAGAGAGAAGATCTAGACTTTTGAATTCATATCTCATTGTAAATGTACAATTTACAAAGACAATAAGATTGATAAAACATGACTTAGAAATGAGGACAATTGAAGAGTGAATTCTGTATGTAAGACAGAAAAAATTAAGATTAATGCACAAAAAGTAACTAAATCAGTAATCTAAAGCCATTTCTCTTTAAAATCTGATTGAAAGCTGCATTTAAGAACAAGTTTTTCACGTTTTAAGCACTTTTCTAGGCACTGCTCTGTATTATTTAAAGCTTTTTTATGTACTTTTTGTCTATCATTCTTGTACCTTTTTTGAACTCCTAAATGTATTTTTTTTGTATTTTTCAGACTGTATGATTTTCCTATTTTTTTGTTTTAAATGTGATTTTAATACAGAAATAATAGACTGATACAAAATTAATACATTTTGTATTATTTTCCTATTTTTTTTTTTCAAGGTGCTCCAAATAATACAGAAATAATAGACTGATACAAAATTAATACATTTTGTATTATTTTCCTATTTTTTTTTCAAGGTGCTCCAAATAATACAGAAATAATATACTGATACAAAATTAATACATTTTGTATTATTTTCCTATTTTTTTTTTCAAGGTGCTCCAAATAATACAGAAATAATAGACTGATACAAAATTAATACATTTTGTATTATTTTCCCATTTTTTTTTTTTCAAGGTGCTCCAAATAATACAGAAATAATAGACTGATACAAAATTAATACATTTTGTATTATTTTCCTTTTTTTTTTCAAGGTGCTCCAAATAATACAGATATAATAGACTGATACAAAATTAATACATTTTGTATTATTTTTGTATTTTTTCTGAGAAATAAAGTATATTAAAAATATATTTTTTTGTGTTTCATTTCTAAGAAAGTGTATTATTTTTGACCTAATTTGGAACCAAGATAAAAAGGGTTCCAAATTTGGTCATTAAAAATATACTTTTTTTTGTATTATTTTTGTATTATTTTAATCTATTATTTTTATATTTATTTTCAATATGGGAATTCATATGGACATGCTGATTCCACCCCACCCCATAAAATTAGTTTTTAAATTAATGATATTACATAATATCAGATTAGTCTATTATGCAAAATCAAATTAGTTTTAATTACTTTTCATCAAATTCATTTTAAAACTTAAGCTAGCCAACAAGAGCTATTTTTAATCAAACAGGCTTACTCATTTGCCCAATACTCAAGGGATACAGATAACACCAATGCCCTGTCCGTTATCTCCTCACACTCAAAACCCATTAATTTCTCTCTAATTTGACATGCAATTTTCTGTTATCAAAATTCTTCTTGACCAGTGCTTGATAATTACACTCATGGGAGAGGTAGAATTTCTCTAACATACATTATATTTGTTATAGATTGCTGTCAAGTATATGCTTAAAAAAATAAGTATTTTCTTGATTTAACACTTTTTTAATAGGGACAGTGCAATACTCTCACATTATTTGAGATGTGTAAATGAATAGTAAAAAGACACATTTTTTTTTTAAATTTCACTTAAATTAAAGGTCACAGTGACCTTGAAATAGGTCGTGACACACCCTCTACCTAAGATGCATAAACTGGCCAAGTTTGATGATTGTAAGTCTTACAGTTTTCTAGTTATGGGCCGGAAAGGATTTTTCCATATTTGGCTATAACTTCTTAATTAAAGGTCAGAGCGACCTACTTTTTGTGCACGACACACCTTCTACCCAAGATGCATCAGATGACAAAGTTTGATAATCCTAGGCCTAGTAGTATAAAAGTTATGAGCCGGAAATGAAAAAGCTAACAGACGGACAGACGGACGGACACGAAGCCTATAACATAATACGTCCCGTCTTAAGACGGGCGTATAAAAACTATGCTGGACCAAATAATAATTATTTGCCGTTAGAAGTTATTTCTAGCCTTCTTTTTAAAAATCGGGACCAGACTACTGGATGTTTTGTGGTAGGCTTGTCCATTTTCATGCCGGTGATGATGTTTTTCGAGATGAAATTGGAGATTCGTTGTATTTCCTAAACAAATTAAAACTAAACCTATGAATTTGAATGTTCGTTAAAATTTTGACAGCACGAGTAGAATTCCATGACATGTGAACTTCAACTTATCTTTATTGGCATACGACTTTTTACACAATTTACAAATAACCGTGTCCATCTGTAAATTATTTTTGCATGGAGGCCCATCGCCCTTTTTCTGAAAGCCAAAAAAACTCCAAACTTTACATCGTGTTGCACCAGGATATGGATATAATTCGGCGTCAACCTCTTCACCATGCACATTCGCCATTTTGTTTACCGCCGATTAGAGTGACGGCCCTTTGGTGAATATAAAGTTAAACCTGCTCAGCTTGAAAAATACGGCTTGAAAAATATAGCGATCTATCGATGATAATATTTACAATCGACTGTCGCCGATTTGGGCCTTTAAACGACGATTTTTCGATAGTCACCGACTATCGTAACAACACTACTAATGAGTTACCACAAATCATGCCATTCAACTGTCATTTTTAAAGCAAACTAAACAGTTTGCATTTAAGTTTTGACATCAAGTATGGTACTATGACGTAACAGTGGAGATAATCATGCTCATCCCTGGTAGTTCAAGAGAAAATGAACAAATTTATAATTTGTAAGGAATGTTTAAGACAAATAAAAGGAAATGTACATATTTGGGAATGGATTTGCCTTTAAATTTAAACTAATCAGTCAACCAGAAAGATCAGATCAGACCCAACATACAAAAAGACCTACTGAATGATTGATGAAATGAGAGACATTGCCATAGTAGCCAGCATCCACAGTGAAGGGACAATCTCCTGGGTTGTAATCCAGATCAAAGAGGTAGGTCCTACCCACAGCATCATACTGCTTACCTCGGCGCTCAGCTTCCTTGTCAGTGATTACCTGAAAAATACACGAGACTTTTCAATGGCTCATCGAACAGTATCTGGTCACATCTAACAGCAGTGATGCTTTTATGCGAACTTGGATCTTTAACACTTCTGAAGGAATTAATAAGTTGATCAAAAATTTTGTCATATGCTATAACATTACATTTTAATATTAACATATAATGTTCACATCTGAAAACTCTTAGATGAAAATTTGTTTCATCTAATTAAATTCTAAACATTTATTGACAATAAAATTTTACAATGAAAACTTGTTGAAAACCATCCAAGATGACTTTAAAATCTTACTTCTCCGACATATTCTATGACAAAGGACCCCTCCTTTATTTTCTGCAGTGTCTTGACGCCCCAACCTCTGCCATTGGCAGTACGGAACAGGCACACTTTAAACTTCCTTCCTTTCTGTACCACTCTGTTTGGACATTCCGGTCCACATTTACATCTCTTATTACATTCATATATAGGCGTCCCTCGCATGACTCGTAGTCTTTTCTTCTTATAATATGCAAACATTGAACCACACTGTGAGGGGCAGCATGTTTTTTGACTGCTATGACAGTCCTCACATTCACACCCTACAATTGGGTCATCAGGAATAGTGATCCCCTCGCCTGAACGGTAGTCGTTTATATACACAAAGTTTTCCGGGGGCCCCTCTAGGTCTACTAGATTTTCTACTACGATCCCGGCAGGGTCAGTATTGATTCCATTCAAATGTCTTTCCCAGTCTTTCAAGGCTCTCTGAACCTCGATTCTCTTCTGTTTGTAGAATTTGGACCTTGGATTCAGCTGCTTCATTCCTGGTGCCGCTGCTCTGCGTGGTATAAATCTAGACTCTCCATAATTCCCATTTATTCCTCTGTATACTGGCCTCTTTCCTTTCTTGGTGGGACTAGATAATGACATGAGCCCTATTGGGGACAAAGTGTCCCTGACCGGTGCTAGCTTGTGGAAGATTTCATCTACTCGGTTACGCTTAGGATTGGGTGCAAGATCGTCCTCTGAATCCACGATTCTACGTTTTCTTCCTTTGGCCTGGAATTCTTTAAACTCCACCAGTAAGTCTTCACATGACAAATTGTCTTTGGGTTCCCAGGAATTATATGCATTGCTCCAACCTTTCCATTTTATGAGGTAGAAATCTTTGCCCTGCAGGAAGAAAACAGTTTTCAATGAATCAACAAGACTTTTATATAATAATAATAATACTGTAAATCACTTTTTATTCGCGAGAACTTTATTTTTGCGCAATTACGCGAGGCGGTATGCTCGCGAAAATTTCATTTTCGCGTATAATAGAATTCCTTAAGAGTATATAAAGCAATGACCACAACTCATGAAAATTTTGTCTCCCTAATAAAGAGTCAATGACTATCTCGAAAATTAAGTGACCTACAGTAATATAAAAAAAGACTGATTGATTGATTGCATGTTGTTTAACATCCCTCTTGAGAATTTTTCACTCATATGGAGATGCCACCACTTGCTGGTGGAGAGCTACAAATTTTGTCCTATACTCGGCACTCTGGGCCATTGAGCAGCATTGTTTTCATTTATTTCAAAATAAAGGGTAAGAGATCATTTGCAGTAGGCTAGGGGCTGAGGTTTATGAACAAAATCTCTGTGGACCTTAGGGCTGGGACGATACAACTTTTTCTATATCGATACATATCACGATACTTGAGCCACGATACGATATGTATCACGATATATTTAATTGCTCGTAAAATCTTTTTTTGGCATTGAAATAAACAAATTATTTCTTTGCAAATGAGAATAATTTATTCAGAATAGTTGTTTATATGTTGTAAAACAAAAATATTTTACTCAAGTGGTGTTCATTATGATTTACTTCATATCTATATTTATAATTAACTTATCTATTTTTTATATATTAAACCCCAAATGTTAAATAAACAAAGATCAAAGGCCTGAAGGGCCTGCGAGTTGACTCGCTCGAGTTTTTTTCATACATCTGGACACCATATCTTATATTCAGTTTATTTTGCATCCTAAGAGATTGAATATATGTCTCCATAATTGGTTAAAAAATAAAGTGTATATATAATCGCTTTTCCTTCATATATACAGGTTGGCACTAATGGGCTTCCGTACATATTATTGTGAAAAGCAGCACAGCAAACCTGCATTCTATCAAGAATTTAAGCACACTAGCTGCAGTGGTCAGTGTTATGGGATAATTAGTTTAAAGATTCCCACAGCAAATCTGGATTCTAAAAATAGATTTTTCAAGCACTCTAGCTGCAGCTAATGAGAGCAGCAGGTGTTTGTGTTAGGGAGTATTTCAGGTCAATTATAAATAAACTTCAGATGGGAAGCTTAGATCCGCCTAACATGCTTGAATATATATTCAAATTATTCATACGCAGTAATTGTACATCGTACAGATATTTAATCAAAAATTTCTTTAAAAGCTTGAAGACATAAATAAAATAACAATATGAAATTTTATACAGTTTTCACCTCCTAAGTTTATACAATCACTCAAACAAAAGCATTTTTTACTAGAACTATCATATTTGGCGGATGGATCACCTTGAATGCGTGATAAATTTTACAGCTCTGAAACGGCTATGTCAACAGGGAGTAGCTCGCTACGCGAGCCAACTCAAAAAACAGAAGTCAGATTTTTTGGGGCGATATTTTGATATTTTTTCAAATGTATCGATATGTGTATCGTCCTCACATATATCACGATATATCGATATCTCGATATATCGTCCCAGCCCTAGTGGACCTTACAACAAATTTTTACTTCAAAGCAGCACTTTTGTCAATTGAAGCGGTCAATTTGGCCAGTAGCCAGTTCTTAGGGAAACACTGAGCATTGAGGGATCTTTTTCGTGCTGGCACCTACTGTGACACGGGACCCCGATATATACGGTCTCATTCAAAAGAGCGGTCTCCACATCCCATAGTGAGATTCCAACCTGCAATGTAAGGATCGACTCCTTACTTTGTGACTCTAGAGCAGACGCTCTAACCAATGCGCCACACACGCTATGAAACATATCAAAACAGTTGCGATTTATGAAATAATCATAAATATTTTCAAATTTAAATGTTTCTGATGAGGCTGCAGCTCTACTGCTCTGTGCTAATGACATTAAGGAAAAACAAAGTAAACAAAATAAAACCAAGTTTCGAGATAGGAGAAGCAGAGAAATATGACTGATCATCATTTCATATTTTAAGTCAACTCGTCAGTGGTGAAATAAACTTCAACCTTACCTCTTCTTCCACATGATCCAGGATTCTCTCCACTTCCCAGTTATCATCATCATCCCATTTTATTTCTCCTTTCTCTACCACTAAATACAGACAAACATAGCAATTCAAGAAAACTATCACTCATATGTATTGCGTACATATACTATATGTTGAAAAAGACTCAAAAGCCTGAAAGTCTTTAATGGCACTAAACATATTCGAACATCTACTTTTTTGCATGAGTCTGTTCCCCATGATTCTTATTCGCCATGTGTTCCATTTGTCATATATCCCAATCGTCCTATTGTAAATATTTTATGTCAACATTATCTTTGGATTTTAAGCCATTTCTTTCTTTTTTTAAAATTTTATTTACTGTAAACCAACTTTTATTCGCAATGACTTTAATTCGCGATTTACTAGGGTTAAACTACTTCGTGGCAATTAATTTTCGTGATCTAGCCTTGTTTGATATGGTTTTAATAGGCACAGAGACTTTAAGGACTGGCTTGCAGGGAGAAATATTCGCGATGACAAGGCTCTCACGAACTTCACGAAAATTTCTCGCACCCAAATAAAAGTTGGTTTACAGTATTAGAACACTGTTAATGAACTTTGTTTTACGTGTACAATATTTGGTTGTAAATTGATTTTTTAACAACTTAGTGAAGATTTGAATTAGCGCTTCCTGAGTGTGCTTTAAACGTCATTGAATATATGTATAAAAAAAAAAGACATTTAGCGATGTACTTGACAAAGCAGGAGATGCTTTCCGCGAAAGGTGCTAAATAAAATACACAGCCAAATGTAATATGTTTACAGTATATAATAATTAAATGTTCTTTCCATTCATACTTAATGACTTTATTTCTGATTTTAATAGTAATTAAAGACTTAATTGGTTTAATTGCTGCCAATTTAGTAATTACTGTAAGGGAACACTTTCTTTGTTAGTTTTTTCAAGTTCATATTAGCATTTATATATTTTAGAAAATAATTAAGGAAGTTGAAATTGGGCTTCTAAAAATGTTCACAGGCCATGCAACCTCCGACAAGGTTACTTTTTTAGGAATCTTTTATTCTTAATTTTTTAAATCCTGCTGAACTTTACTTATGAATTAAAATTAATGGAAATCACATCAATTACTTTAGTTTTTCAAAAAATTTCTTTAACGTTAAAGAATAATTAATTTTGATTTAAACAAAAATTCATAAAATTCTTTAAAATCAAAGGAACTTGTGAAAATTAACTGACTAACATATTATGAGGGAACATGTTTTAGAGTGAACAGATTCTGGGCGAACGAGAAAAAGATCTAACGGCATCAAGGGAAAATGCGTTTTAGGGCGAACAAACATACAAACATTTAAATGCGCATCGCAAGTAGTGCTGGGTATCGCGACGGAAAAATCGTATCGCAATATTATATTTCGTATTGCAATATATCACGATATAAATATTTAATAAATTTTTGCTTTTCGTCAAGGTTAAATGAAAACATAAACTCAAATAACATGTATTCTCGAGTTGATTTTCCAATTGCCTGATCGCATTGTATCGGCGCAGGTGGCAATATAAGTTTTTTTGTGGCACAACTTGTTGAATTCAATTATTAAAGTTGTAATACTCAGATTTAGCTTTAACATGAAGGGGTTTCAATTAACAGTTGACGTCGTTTTGTTTTAGAAATAGACATGTCTCTGGTTTCTGATCACACTTCGCTTGCCGCCATATTTTACCTTGAAAAGGGCAAATAACTCTTTTTGTAACAATTAATAGCATATCGAACCCGAACCGGTATTCACAAAAAAAATACCGCGATATGTATTGTGAAGAACGAAATCGGGATACACCGGTTAACCGGTAATATCGCACAGCACTAATCGCAAGTACTGAAAATCAATTCCTGTTGGAGACGGCAAAATTCCCCATTTTATTAATTGATTATGTTACTAGTTCAGACGATTTTGTGGCACCTAAATATATCAAGTCATGAAGCCTGGAAAATGTCAGATATTTATGACTAGCCCAGTGAATAATTTTATTATATATATTTTATTTTTAACCTGTCTTACCGACACTCACACTGTAAACAGATGTATCGGACTAACACCGTTACACATCAATTTGACCAAAGAAAATGGTTTTTGACTGCACGTGTCAATGTCATAACTCATAATAAAAACAGCATGCAGGAATATAACTCTTGGCATTATCCTGTTATTCGCTCCGCGGAGTGAATAATATTTGACGTTGTTGACGTAACGTCAAAACATTCCTTGGATGCAGAAATAGCAAATAAAACTAAAACAAACCTCAGTACGATCCATTTATCTTAGGTCAAGGTCGAAATTAAAAATAAGATCTCAGGTGAAACTAATAACAGTAATGAGAAAATGCATTCCTTACTAACATTTATATAATAACAAGAGGCCCACGGTCCTTATAGGTCACCTGAGCATTATGCAACAACTTTCCAGTTACAGTGTATTGAATTTGATTCATGTTTTAAGCCAGATGCTATATGGCATTCACAATTTTGAAAGGGCGCCATTGATCATCATAACAATAAACTTAGCAGTTGCTTAGCTTGGTTACTGAATACCCATACGCAGGGTAGGGGAACAAAAATGCACTCCAACTAATCAGTAATATTCATCAATAATCAGTAGTGCCCCTAACACGCTGACATAAACCCCTGACCCTAGGTTGCACAAATTTTTAAAAGGCACCCTTAAAATTGCCTATCAAAAAGTAAATAAATGTTTTATAAATACAAAGGACCAGATTTCAAACAATTAATTCATTTTCAGTATATAAGTAGAGCCCCCCCCCCCACCCCTGACCCTGGGGCCTTGAAATTCACAATTCTGCAAGATTAGGGCCCTTGCTCATCATAACTATATAGATAGTTCATCTGCTTCATACCCAGAGACAGAGAAGAAAACTTTCAATGATTTAATGTATTTTCACTATATAATCAATAGAGCCCCACCCTAACACCAGAACCCCAGACCCTGGGGCAATGAAATTCATAATTTTAGAAAAGGCATTCTTGCTCATCATAACTATGCACTTACTTAGTTTATTTAATACCTAGGAGCAGAGAAGAAGATTTTCAAAGAATTCATGTATTTTCACTTTATAAACAATAAAGCCCCCCCCCCCAGAACCCCAGACCCTGGGGCAATGAAATTCATAATTTTAGAAGAGGCATTCTTGCTCATCATAACTATGCACTTACTTAGTTTATTTAATACCTAGGAGCAGAGAAGAAGATTTTCAAAGAATTCATGTATTTTCACTTTATAAACAATAAAGCCCCCCCCCCCCTCCACCAGAACCATTGATGCTGGGGCCATAAAATTCACAATATTTGTAGAGGCACTCTTGCTCATCATAACTATGCACTTAGTTAGTTTATTTAATACCTAGGAGCAGAGAAGAAGATTTTTAAAGAATTCATGTACAGTGGACCTTCAGATATCCGGACGCCAGATATCCGGATACTTCAGTATCCGGACGATTTCTCATCGGAACAAAATTTTTAAATGTTATTTTGTCTTGTTTAACTGGTGATTCAGATATCCGGATGCTTCACATATCCGGACAAATTGACTGGGAACCAAAGCGTCCGGATAAATGAGGGTCCACTGTATTTTCACCATATGATCAATAGAGCCCCCGCCCAACACCAGAACCCTTGATCCTGGGGCCATAAAATTCACAATTTTGGTTGAGGCACTCTTGCTCATCATCACTAAGCACTTAGTTAATTTATTCAATACCTAGGAGCAGAGAAGAAGATTTTCAATGAATTAATGTAATTTCACTATATAATCAATAGAGCCCCCCCCCAACACCAGAACCCTTGATGATAGGGCCATTAAATTCACAATTTTGGTTGAGGCACACTTGCTCATCATAACTTAATGCACTTACTTAGTTTATATAATACCTAGGAGCAGAGAAGAAGGTTTTCAAAGAATTCATGAATTTTCACTATATAATCAATAGAGCCTCCCCCCCCTCAACACCAGACCCCTTGACCCTGGGGCCATAAAATTCACAATCTTGGTTTAGGAACACTTGCTTATCATAACTATGTACTTAGATAGTTTATTTAATACCTAGGAGCAGAGAAAAAGATTTTCAAAGAATTCATGTATTTTCACTTTATAAACAATAAAGTCCCCCCCCACCAGAACCATTGACGCTGGGGCCATAAAATTCACAATTTTTGTAGAGGCACTCTTGCTCATCATAACTATGCACTTAGTTAGTTTATTTAATACCTAGGAGCAGAGAAGAAGATTTTCAAAGAATTCATGTAATTTCACTATATAATCAATAGAGCCCGAGCCCCCCCCCCCCAACACCAGAACCCTTGACCCTGGGGCCATAAAATTCACAATTTTGGTAGAGGCGCTCTTGCTTATTGTAACTATTTACTTACTTGGTTTATTTAATACCCAGGGACAGAGAAGATGATTTTCAAAGAAATCATGTATTTTTACTATATAATCAATAGAGCCCCACCCTAACACCAGAACCTCTGACCCTGGGGCCATAAAATTCACAATTTTGGTAGAGGCACTCTTGCTCATCATAACTATGTACTTAGTTGGTTTATTTAATACCCAGGAGCAGAGAAGATTTTCATAAAATTCATGTATTTTCACTATATAATCAATAGAGCCCCGCCCTAACACCAGAACCCCTGACCCAAGGGCCATGAATTTCACAATTTTGGTAGAGGACTCAATGCTGATTACAATCATGCAAACAGTTTGACTGCTTGATGTCCAGGAGTAAAGAAGAAGATTTTTAAAGATTGCATTAATTTTAGTGGTTTTGGCCCCACCCCTCAGGCCCCAGGGGGGCAGGGATCATGAAATTCACAATTTTTGTTCCCCTACACCCATAGATGCTTTGTGCCAAATTTGGTTGAAATTGATTGAGTGGTTGCAGAGAAGAAGCTGAAAATGTTCAAATGTTAACACACGATGGACGACGGACGACGGACGTCGCACGACGACAGACGAAAACGGATGGTAATAGGTCACCTGAGTTTACTCAGGTGACCTAAAAATGCAAGTATCAAGTGTTTTGTTATTCTTAAAATTTAAAGAATACAAATGTATGAATTAAAGAAATCCAAAACATTCTCCGTTTTCATTTATATATATTTAATGAATGAATATAGTGTGAAAATTATTCGCACCGGTGCGAATAACAGGAGTATATATATACAGACGAAGTTCCAGATTTCAAGCTAAAATGCCCAGGAAAGGGAAGTATTCCCGGGAAAAGGGTTTATTTGGGGGAGAGAATATAAAAAAATGGGGCTTGGATATTTTTGGGGGGAGACACTCTAAAATACATTTAATGAATGGATATAGTGTGAAAATTATTCGCACCGGTGCGAATAACATTAGTATATATATACAGACGAAGTTCCAGATTTCAAGCTAAAATGCCCAGGAAAGGGAAGTATTCCCGGGAAAAGGGTTTCTTTGGGGGAGAGAATATAAAACAAGAGGCCCACGGGCCTTATAGGTCACCTGAGCATTATGCAACAACTTTCCAGTAACAGTGTATTGAATTTGATTCATGTTTTAAGCCAGATGCTATATGGCATTCACAATTTTGAAAGAGGCACCATTGATCATCATAACAATACACTTAACAGTTGCTTAGCTTGGTAACTGAATACCCATACGCAGGGTAGGGGAACAAAAATGCACTCCAAGTAATCATCAATAATATTCAGCAATAATCAGTCGTGCCCCTAACAAGGTAACATAAACCCCTGACCCTAGGTCCTAACATTGCACAAAATTTTAAAAGGCACCCTTAAAACTACCTATCAAAAAAATAAATAAATGTTTTATAAATACAAAGGAGCAGATTTCAAACAATAAATTCATTTTCAGTATATAAGCAGAGCCCCCCCCCACCCAACCCCTGACCATGGGGCCTTAAAATTCACAATTCTGTAAGATTACGGCCCTTGCTCATCGTAACTATATAGGTAGTTCATCTACTTCATACCCAGAGACAGAGAAGAAAATTTTCAAAGATTTAATGAATTTTCGCTATATAATCAATAAAACCCCGGCTTAACACCAGAACCCTTGACCCTAGGACCATAAAATTCACAATTTTTGTTGAGGCCATCTTGCTAATCATTACTATGCACTTAGTAAGTTCATTTAATACCTAGGAGCAGAGAAGAAGATTTTCAAAGAATTCATATTTTCACAATAAAATCAATAGAACCCCCCCCCCCCCCAACACCAGAACCCTTGACCCTATGCACTCAGAAAATTCACAATTTTGGTAGAAGCACTCTTTCTTATCATAACTATGCACTTATTTTATTTAATACCTAGGAGCAGAGAAGATTTTCAAAGAATTCATGTATTTTCACTATATAATCAATAGAGCCCCCCCCCCCCCCACCCCCCAACACCAGAACCCTTGACCCTGGGCCATAAAATTCACAATTTTGGTAGAGGCACTCTTGCTTATCATAACTATGCACTTAGTTAGTTTATTTAATACCTAGGAGCAGAGAAGAAGATTTTCAAAGAATTCCTGTATTTTCACTATATAATCAATAGAGCCTCTCCCCCCAACACCAGAACCCTTGACCCTGGGGCCATAAAATTCACAATTTTGGTAGAGGCACTCTTGCTTGTCATAACTATGCACTTAGTTAGTTTATTTGATACCAAGGAGCAGAGAAGAAGATTTTCAAAGAATTCATGTATTTTCACTATATAATCAATAGAGCCCCCCCCCCCCCAACACCAGAACCCTTGACCCTGGGGCCATAAAATTCACAATTTTGGTAGAGGCACTCTTGCTTATCATAACTATGCACTTAGTTAGTTTATTTGATACCTAGGAGCAGAGAAGAAGATTTTCAAAATAATTCATGTATTTCACTATATAATCAATAGAGCCCCCCCCCCCCAACACCAGAACCCTTGACCCTGGGGCCATAAAATTCACAATCTTGGTAGAAGCACTCTTGCTTATCATAACTATGCATTTAATTAGTTTATTTGATACCAAGGAGCAGAGAAGAAGATTTTCAAAGAATTCATGTATTTTCACTATATAATCAATAGAGCCTCTCCCCCCAACACCAGAACCCTTGACCCTGGGGCCATAAAATTCACAATTTTGGTAGAGGCACTTTTGCTTATCACAACTATGCACTTAGTTAGTTTATTTAATACCTAGGAGCAGAGAAGAAGATTTTCAAAGAATTCCTGTATTTCACTATATAATCAATAGAGCCCCCCCCCAACACCAGAACCCTTGACCCTGGGGCCATAAAATTCACAATTTTGGTAAAGGCACTCTTGTTCATCATAACTATGCACTTAATTAGTTTATTTAATACCTAGGACCAGAGAAGAAGATTTTCAAAGAATTCATGTATTTTCACTATATAATCAATAGAGCCCCCCCCCCCCAACACCAGAACCCTTGACCCTGGGGCCAGAAAATTCACAATTTTGGTAGAGGCACTCTTGCTTATCATAACTATGTACTTAGTTGGTTTATCTAATACCCAGGAGCAGAGGAGAAGATTTTCAAAGAAATAATGCATTTTCACTGTATACTTATTTAGCCCCACCCTAGCACTAGAACCCCTGACCCCAGGGCCATGAATTTCACAATTTTGGTAGAGGACTCAATGCTGATTACAATCATGCAAATAGTTTGACTGCTTGATGTCCAGGAGTAAAGAAGAAGATTTTTAAACATTGCATTAATTTTAGTGGTTTTGGCCCCACCCCTCAGGCCCCAGGGGGGCAGGGATCATGAAATTCACAATTTTTGTTCCCCTTCACCCATAGATGCTTTGTGCCAAATTTGGCTGAAATTGGTTCAATGGTTGCAGAGAAGAAGCTGAAAATGTTCAAATGTTAACACACGACGCACGACGGACGACGACGGACGAAAACGGATAGCAATAGGTCACCTGAGTTTACTCAGGTGACCTAAAAATGGGGCTTGGATATTTTTGGGGGGAGATACTCTAAAATACATTTAATGAATGGATATAGTGTGAAAATTATTCGCACCGGTGCGAATAACAGGAGTATATATATACAGACGATCTTTCCATGTTCAAGCTAAACTGGAATATTTGGTGGATGTTCATTGTGAGAAAAGTATTTTTAAAATGGATGAAAATAGAGGTATACTTATTAGCACCAATGCGAATAAACGGGGGAAGATTTTTACAAAGACCATACTGAGTATAACTGAACCATGGCAATAAGGTGAACACTATTCATGCATTCGGTCATTGTTCGTATTGTTAAGTAGTAAACGTGAAAGCGTGTTTTTTTTGGATTTTTGTTATGGTATTCAATTTGAATTAGGTCTGATATAGTACACAGGAAATAAAATCATGTATGTACAGAGATTCATTCACTGTTCGAATGATATTGTAAACTCACTTGGATATATACCTGTACCACTTCAAGGCATGGATTCCTTAATTTATAGAACAATATAATTTAAGTAGCATAAAAATATGGTTTATTCCGTTACAGGTGTATAAATAAACATACAATTTATCACATTTCTACATGTTTTTGAGTCCTACGCAATGAAATTTAACATGTAAGCAAACAATGGACAAAACAAGAAGATATACCATGTGGTTTATTCCGTGACAAAACAAGCGTAAAAACATAACATATTACATTTTATTCCCTGATAAATGTATAAACATAAAATTATTCATGAAAATATTGTTCATTCCGTTAAATAATATAGAAATTAAATTGATAACAGTTTTCGTTTTCCTCATGCATATAAGAGACATTTACGGAATAAACGTTATATATACCAAATAATTCTCTCACATTTAAAATTTTACTCAATAAACCATGTAGTTTATTTCGTAATAAAACAAACATAATATATAACATTTTATTCCCTGATAAATGTATAAACATGAAATCATTTATGAAAATACTAGCTGTTTATTCCATTAAATAGTATGTATAGAGAGTAAATTAATTGATAACAGTTGCCGTTTCCTCATGCGTATTAAGAGAAATTCACGGAATAAACGCTATACATTGCATTGAATAATTCTCTCACATCTAAAATTTTATCCAATATGCCCTGTAACGAAATTTAGTCGTGATAAAAAAATTACCACGGAATAAAGGCTAATATCTGAAAGTATTTATGTATTCTTTCAACATGTTCAAAGGCAAGTATAAATATGAAGAAAAACGTAACGTCAACAACGTCAAATATTATTCACTCCGCGGAGCGAATAACAGGATAATGCCTAACTCTTCTTTATCATGTTTGTTTCCTTATGCAAATGAAAGTGTGTGTTTAAAGAAAACTTACATTTACTGACAAGCTTTTGTGCAACAAATGGCCCCACTTTCTTCAGTGTGAGATACAGCAAATATCGATTGGTGTCCGGAGAAAACTTCAGCTCCTGTTTTTGACAGGTTCTCTGTAGATCTAAAATATCTGATAAGCATGGTACGCGAGATTCAAATATTTCAATAATACCCATTTTTTCAATTACCAATTTTGCTATATTCTAAGCATCAGATACTTTTAACCAGAACATCATGTCAACATTCTAAGCAAGTGCGAAAAATGGCGCGCATTTGAAATATCATTTCCATATCCGGTTAGCTTTCTGATTGGTCAATAATGGTCGTACTATTTACGTGGATAACAAGTTTTCCACTTTTCTTAAATTTATAGGTTATTTACAGGTACTTGGTTATGCATATCGATGAATGTTTTCATATCAGAACACCGAGTGTGGTTTTTATGTTACAGAGTTTTTTTAAAAGAAAAACGAAAAAGTTTCATAACTACCCAAATGACACAAAATACAATTCGACTCACAGACTTTTCGGTCCGTAAATCTTATGGTGCACAAACAATATTTCGAGTTAAGGAGTTAAGTGTGTTTATTACGGTTGCTGGTGAAGAACATGGTATGATTTTTTTTTTACCAATTCATGCAATTATTGCCACAAAATAAAATTCTTGGCCTGAAATAAACTACTTTTCATTTGTTACATTAAAAGTTTATATATAAAGTTTTAAACTAAAAAAAAAAAACTTATCTTGAGATAAGTTTTAACTTGAGGTTTAAACTTTTAATGTAACACTTTTAATCTGTATTATATATATAAATATATATATATATATATATATATATATATATATATATATATAAATACGAGCCTGTGCTCACAATACCTAAGGGTGACTGGAAATTGGAAGCCCCCCGTTTTTTGAAAATACCCATACAGAAGGGTAGAAGCCCCAATAAAGTGGTAGAAGCCCCATAAAATTGAATGAAATGGGGTACATAAAACCCTACGGTGATGCTTAAATAAATGATATCGAAATCTGTAAATTTTTATAGCCAATTTTACCTCAGAGTCGACAGAAATCGGGCGCCATTACTGGTTTACCGTACACCACGCCCGATCTAATTTCGAAGCGAGCTGCTGTTTATCATCGTATAGATAAGGTTAAAATTATTCATTTTAATTTTAATGTTTTTTATGCAAGATTTATATCAAATATTATGTAATAAATATTTTTTGAAATCAAGAACATTAGCCATTAAGATAATTTAAGATTTTTTTTTTTTTTTTTTTTTTTGAATTTAGAGAAATTCATAATTTAGAGATATGATTATATCCAAAAGCTTCAAAGCAACAATAATAATAAAAAATAGTAATGATAATTAATTAATAATTACTTATATTTTTCAAAGAGAACAAAAAAAAATAAATTTCAAAATATGAAAATACTGAATTTATTTTTGAGATTTTAGACAAATTATGAATTTAGAAATATAGAAATATGAAATTCAAAAGTTCAAAGCAATAACAATAATAATTAAATTTTAAAAATGAAAATAATAATTACTTATATGTTAAAAGAGAACAAGAAGTAAATCAATGTCAAAATATGAAAATACTGAAACCTGGAAAGAAATAGTAAATTAAAAGAATACCGGTATATCAATTTTCAAATATATAGATATTTTATTTCAAAGTAACCTTTTTATGTTCTTTTCTTAGAAAAAAATTCAGATGTTTTAAATATTTTACATCAGTTGTTTACATTTTGAATTGTCTTTAAATTAAAACAAATATGAATTTAAAAAAAAGTAAAGTAAAAAAACCACACCACAAAATAAAATATAACGAAATTTTAGATTGAATTTTAACTACGAAAAAATCTCAATGTGGTTAAGTGAATTGAAAATCTTTTATCATCTCCAAGCATAGGTATTTTATGTAATTTTACATTTCATTGCCAGTTGAATCTGTCGACTAAAAATTTCCATTGCCTCTCTGTTCAAACTAATCCCATCTTCACGCCAAATGTTTTTATTTGAATTCATTAAACCCCTGCATCTCCAAAATATCACATTCTGAAAAGTCATATTTCCTTCGTAGTGTGTTATTTATGTCAACAACAAAATTGTACTTTCCTGAAATGGTTCCACAAATCATTTGCCTAAACAGACTTCCAATAAATATTTTCTGAACCGAATCATTTCTTAACAGTTTTTATATGCCCGTCTTCAGACGGGACGTATTATGTTATAGGCTTCATGTCCGTCTGTCTGTCCGTCTGTCCGTCCGTCCGTCTGTTAGCTTTTCTCGTGTCCAGCTCATAACTTGAATACTATAAGGCCTAGAGTTATCAAACTTTGTCAGCTGATACATCTTGGGTAGAAGGTGTGTCGCACACAAAAAGTAGGTCACTCTGACCTATAATTAAAAAGTTATAGCCAAATATGGAAAAATCCTGTCCGGTCCATAACTAGAAACTATTAGACTTAGAATCATCAAACTTGGCCACTTTATGCATCTTAGGTAGAGGGTGTGTCGCGACCTATTTCAAGGTCTTTGTGGCCTTTAATTTAAGTGAAATAAAAAAAAATGTCTTTTTTTCTCTTCATTTACACACTCCAAAAAATGTAAAAGTATTGCACTTTCCTCATTAGAAAAATGTTAAATCAAGAAAATACTTATTTTTTTAGCATATACTTGACAGCAATCTATAACAAATGTAATGTATGCTAAAGAAATTCCACCACTCCCATGAGTTTAATTATCAAGCACTGGTCAAGAAGAATTTTGATAACAGAAAATTGCATGTCAAATTAGAGAGAGAAATTAATAAGTTTAGTGTGAGGAAGAGCATCGGTGCTATCTATATCCCTTGAGTATTGGGCCAAATGGGTAATCCTGTTGGATTAAAAATAGCTCTTGTTGGCTAGCATAAGTTTTAAAATGAATTTGATAAGAAGTAAATAAAACTAATTTGATTTTGCATAATAAACTATTTTGATATTACATAATATTATGAACTTTAAAAAACTAATTTTATGGGGGTGGGGTGGAATCAGCATGTCCATATGAATTGCATATTAAAACCTATCTGCCATTAAATCTAACAAAAAAATCATTGAGGTTTTATATGTTTTAAAAATGCTTTATGGTAGATAGTGCAGATCCAATAATCTCTTGGGAATAATGAGTAGACAAGCATCCAGTTAAAGATTAATTAATTTGTTCAATGTAGCAAGGCTATAGCTGTCTCAATCATTTCTTCAGAGCATTATCTTAACTGACAGTGTATCCTTTGGGAATTAGACAGAAGAACTGTTGGTCATTTTATATTTGATGGTCAGCCTTTTATTTTCAAAATTAATTAGGTATAGATTAAGTTGTTAAGACTAATTTGATATTGTTTAATATGATAGGCATTTGGCAAGGTCTAACACAACCAGTATAGAAATCTATGAATGAAAAATCATGGAAATCTAAAATCAAGGTTGACATGATTTTCTTGCACTTTTAATTATTTAAGATAATTGTAATTTTTTGACGGGCGTATCATGCTGTGGCGTGGCACTTTATTCAATAATGTTTTGGATTCCTAACACTATATCTGACAGAGAAGATGAATATATATCTTTTTCTCCCACTTGCAGAAACACTTTTAAACCAGTCTTAAACCATTAAAACCCAAAAATGTTTTTAAAATTGTATATTTATTATTTTTTCTAGAGTAGGGTTAGTATCAGGCAGTATTCCTCCCCCGCCAGACGGGTGCAGACCAGTGAATACTGTTTGGTGTTGTGTTAGATTAGGTTATAGGTTAAGAACATATTTTTATAAATTCCTTTCTATGTAATTTTTTATAATGTTATTTAATTTTATGTCAATTTCTTTCATTTGGGTACCTGTAAAGTGCGAAATGAAATAGAAACGAAACGAAACGAAACGAAATGAAACGAAACGAAATCTGCCGAAACGAAACGAAATCTACCGAAACGAAACGAAATCTACCGAAACAAAACGAAACCTACCGAAACGAAACGAAACTAAACCTACTGAAACGAAACGAAACAAAACTTTCAGAATGTTTTTCAAATCATGGTATATATATATGTACATATAGTTATAGATCATGTGTAACTGCATATGGTTTATTTTTACTTCATATGAAATTTATAAAGTTCAAACACCACAGACAATTGTTTCGCTTTAATTAAGTTCATTCATAGGCGTTGGGAGTAAATTGAAAGTTGGGGAGGGGGGGGCTTGACCAAACCAAAAAGGTAAACCCAAATTTTCAATGCCTGTATAATATATATCTTTGCCCAAAAAAAAGGGGGGGGGGGGCTCACCCTCCCCCGCATCCGACGTTTTTGTCATATTTTTTAAATATAACACCAAATAATTTACCTTCTTAAAAATGACATCGTTCGCTTCGAGAGATTTTTTTCGTGTCAGTTAAATTGTTTCGGAATTGAATACTAAATACTCGGAAATCTCTGGTTTATCCTATGTTTTAAGATATTCGCAATACAACAGTACTGTTACTTTATTCCGACCCGTACATAAACGAGCCTTTACATGTAACACGCCAATTTTGATAGATATGTTGTATTTAGATAAACGAGGGCTGAAAATAAGAGTAAGACATAAAAAATAGAAAATACTGCACATATTGAAATTATACATGCAGTACGCTGTTGCATATTTGCAGCTGGCAAACGTGTAAATAAATCATTAGAACGAGAAGGGAGCATAATTTATCGGTAATTAAATTTTATATTAACAAGACTACTGCATGAACTAAATAAATTTTATTTGAAGTAAAATAAAAAGTCCACATGCAGTTAGTTACACATATATAATTATATACTAGTACATACCTTGATTTAAAAAAAAAAATCATTTTGATAGTTTTGTTTCGTTTCGTTTCGGCAGGTTTCGTTTTGATTTCGTATCGTTTCGTCTTGATTTTGTTTCGTTTCGGTAGGTTTCGTTTCGTTTCGGTAGATTTCGTTTCGTTTCAGTTCGTTTCGTTTCTATTTCGTTTCGCACTTTACAGGTACCCCTTTCATTTGGCTGTAATATGTTTATACATGAACAAAAGATTGTCTAGGAATAATGATAATGATAAAGTATCTTTATCAAAATAATAAAAATTTAATTTTTTTTTAAATTTTCTTTTAATCTTTCGGTCATCTTTCGGTCCTTTGACTTTAATATTTTTCTAGCTGTTTCAAAATTCAAATCATGGCTCAAATCATGGCTCAAATCATGGCTCTACAATTAAGGAGGCCTCCACGTGGCTAGAGCTGGAAACATAAGGAAACTATGAATATTTTCCAGGTATTACTAATTTAAAAGGTCTTTATTAATTTATCATTATTAATATTAGTATCAAAATTATCAAATTCATATTTTCCTTATTTTCCTTATGTGTGTGCTAACGTCCTTAAAATGAAAATTTGTATTTAAAGCATATTACCATTTCATATCAACATTATTATTAAAAAAAAGATTATATTACAAAATCATTTATTTTACAATTTGATAATGAAAGTCAAGAACAATTGAGCATAGTCAAGGTTCAGTGTATATATACACATGCCCTGCCAGAGGGGGGTTGGTCAGACTAGCTCAGAACAGGTGTTTGATCAAAAGAAGTTTATTGTCAACTTGACCAAGTGTCAACAGCTGTGTATATATTGCATGTACACACACAGGGGTGCCTCTCTACCCCAGTACATAACAACACAGCTAGCTGATGTGTAAATAATATTCTCACCATATTCTCATAATACCCAGTTTACAAGTGTTTGCATATGCAATTATGCACATTTTATTCATTTTTATGTAACTTTTTTATTTCCTGGACCTGGATTCTAATAATTTCATTCTAATGGATACATATCGCTTTCTAATATCAATGAGTATAATTTGTTCTATTACATGAACAAAAAAAAAAACTCCCCCAAATAAAAACAGAACCAAAAAAAATTACAAGTAACTGGAAAATAATAATGAATGCATGAATACTGAATTTCAAATATAAATAAACAATTTGAAGAAAAAGAAACCAAAACAAATACCTTTGAAATTAAATAAATTAACAACTTAAATCACTTTATTCATGAATTTATTTAACTTAATTTTATATTATAAATGATTAGAATTTTAGAAAAGGAACTTTATTAATTATTAATTGCCTAGTTAAATTCATTTAAAACACCCAATCAATTTGTTCAGTAATCTCTATCAACAGGTTAAATCTCGATGTTTTTATGTAACAGTACACATCATCTATACAAATATTTTCATGTTTTCAGTAATGATTTTCGATATAAAATTCTTTTTGGTAGGTACAAACCAGTGTGGATAAAAGTATTCAAGTAGGCCATGAAATATGTTCATAATTAATATTTTATTTCATTTAGGAAATATGTAAATATTTAATGCTTTATTTATATTCTTAACTTTCCTTTCATATATTTTTTTAAAAATAAAAATCATATATTATATTATTCACTTTTGATCAAGATAATGGTAATGATTTTCACGGATTACTCTAAACGACTTCAGCGATCGCGATTTTAGATCGGGGGTGGTGTACGGTATATGAAGACAAGAAGAAATGGCGCCCGATTTCTGTCGACTCTGAGGTAAAATTGGCTATAAAAATTTACGGTTATCAATATCATTCATTTAAACATCACCTTAGGATTTTATGTACCCCATTCCATTCAATTTTATGGGGCTTCTACCACTTTATTGGGGCTTCTACCCTTCTGTATGGGTATTCTCCAAAAAACGGGGGGCTTCTGGAATTTCCAGTTACCGCAATACCTCTAATTTAAATTGTATTAAGATCGCGGAACATTAACTGGCAAAATTGGAAATATACAGCTTACGTCATTTCTATCTGTTACAATCAAAACTTTCAGTGATAGACAATGAAATGGGCGGATACAATTCGACGCGGACGTGGGGAAAACATCGGATTGAAATTGCAGATCGAAATTCATTTTCAATTCACCTGAGCTGTTTTCAAATCAAAGAGTGAATGTATGATCCAAAATTCAACTAAATTCAACTCCCAAATACATACTGTTTGAAGTTCACATTAATATGAGTTTTAGCTTATAATTTCAAGAACGCGAAAGATCATAGAAGACAAAGATTATTTTTCAGGATATATTTGATTCTAGAAAGGGGGGGGGGGTAAAAATTGTCGAGTCAGGTCATGGCTTAACATGACAATATATTTTATTTCAAGGATTATAAGAGTGCATAAGTACTGTTGAACAACTTTATTTAAAAATCGTTCAGCCCCCCCCCCCCCCCCCCCACCACCACCACCACCACAAAGATATACATATATTTACCAAACAGAAATGAAATATTTGTCCCTTGAATATCAATTTATTTAAAACACTGGACAAAAAAATTCAAACTGTACCAACATTGAAATCGTTTGTCTTCTGGGGTCAATCATTAATAATGTGCCGTCTAGCGTAGCTGAGGTGGATTGAAAATGAATTTCGATCTGCAATTTCAATCCAATGTTTTCCCCACGTCCGCGTCGAATTGTATCCGCCCATTTCATTGTGCATCACTGAATGTTTTGATTGTAACAGATAGAAATGACGTAAGTTGTATATTTCCAATTTTGCCAGTTAATGTTCCGCAGTCTTAATATTAGCTAGTGGACTGGGATTTAATTCTACCAGTGGTTATATATCCAACTTACACATATGTGTTATATTCATGTAGCTCCATTTCTAGTGAAAAAATTCTTCAAAATCATATGTCAGTTTTGATTATTTTTGATATTTTCAAAAGCCAAAATTAATATCTACTATTGAATTCCAAAACTTCATTTAAAAAACCGCGGCATGAAACTGACAAAAATACGACTGAAACAGGTTACAGGGTGTATGTTCTACCACTGAAGGCCATTTCTTTATACTCCACACTAAAATATTCACAACAGTGAAGGGGAATCCTTGGAGCTCTATGTAACAATAATAAATTATATTTTCTAGAAGTGGTGTAAATCAGATGTGGATACTTAAAAAGTCCAAGGAACATAAAAATTATATTTGAAATAAAAAAAAATTAACCAAAATCAATAAATCAAAAAGTACGACTTTTCAGCACCTTACTCAGCGACAATTTAAAGTCCATGCTTTATGATATTTGACAGCTGCTTTTTCAATAAAAATAGAACTTGTTAATCTTTTTTACACCATAAATTTACTTATACCTTGTCATTGGTCATTTGTGAAATTATTTGTGAAAAAAATTCCGATTGTACACACAAGTATTCTCAAGTTGATATTAAAAAGTTAAGATGGTTGGGTTTCTGATTGACAATATCTTTGTGTTTTTGGAGAACGTACGGGTCTTCAAAGAATCTGTTGGAATTCCAATGTGAATCAATTGCGCCCCGTCATTAGCGGACCTATTTTTGTATTCATATACAAGATACAAGATTTTATTAATCCAATTTGGACCCCCGGAGGAGGAAAAAGATTTACAAACAAAAGAAGGTGGAGGATTTAAATGATAGAACAAGCATGATGATGATATTACATATAATGAGCATTTGTTAATACATGTAAAAAAAAACGTATATAAGAGATATACTGAATATACATACATGTATCGTATTGTATGTTATATATATATAAAATATATATAGTCAAGGGCAAGAAACTGGGAAAAAAACTCAAAAAAGTATATATTATATGCTTATCAAAATATCTTCAATTAAGGTAGGTTACCAAGGAATCTAGCTAGTGATCTAAGGATGTCAGGGTCTTCATTAGTCATGAGCCAATAAAACTGATTATCATATAAACAGCTAGACCTATATAAATGAAACATAATTTATTCAAAATTTTGTACGCCAGAAAAGGAAAGCACATGCTGTGACCTTATTTCAACTCGACATTTTTAGATATCGACGATGTAGCTGCAGATCTGTAGCGTTATGGTTTTATATACTGAAGTATTTGTCTTTGACCATCACGCTACAGATCCCGTAGTGCAGAAAAGGTGCAATTTACAGCGCAATATTTTTTGGGCACTTTGAGGGAGAGTTTCTAGCAATTTTGTCAATCCACTACCTTTCACTCACTAATTCTAGACTCATTCTGTAGCCAATATGTTAATTGTATCCACCTTCCAACCATTTATAGTTGTCTCTACAGGCAATAAACTCGCCTTGAAGTGAATTTTCAGCAATCTAACAAATAATTTTAATCAAGTAAGTTTATCACTTGTAGAGACGACTAATCTATAAAGGGTTGGGAGATGAATAAAATATACAGGAAAAGGGTATGTATTATTCTCTATGAACAACTCTTAAATAAAAAACGAGGCGGAAATTTATTGACAAACAAGTTGATGAACAAGGATATCAACCGCCTCGCTTAAGTAATCATTTTGAAGGTTTTACATGGTCGATACAATGACCTTGTCAGTAAATACAGTTTAACATTTAGTCAAATAGATCTATCATCTATCATATATACAAAACATTAAGTCAAATAGATCTATCATTTTGGGGTTTTCTCTGAAATAATTTTTAAAAAGTGGCTTAAATTAGTGAATATACAAGACTGTAAAGGAGTCATAATTTCATTATTTTTAGAACCTGCTCACCAGCGCTAGCTGTACAGACAGTTTTCCGCCAGATTTAAAAAAATAATAAAGTTGAACAATAAAAAAAATATCATGCCAAAAAAAAAAAGAAAAAAAAAAAGAAACTGAAAATAATACACGATAATTTTTCCTTATTGAATATAAAATATATGATTTTTTATATGCTATACTGTCATTCATTATTGACTAGGAGCCTACTGACAGTATGCTCGTTGGAAAACACATTAAAAGAAAAAAAGGGGGAACGAACTGTCGCTAGGTCGAACTGTCTGGTTACCGCTACCGTCATAAACTTATCGGGATCGGGATGACAACCAGGATTAACAAGGAAAATCTTGAGTTCTTAGAAATATTCTAAATTTCACTTTTCTTAGTTTTCCAGCAGTTTTTAAAACAATCATATGAAGTAAGTAAAACTAGTATAACTTTGTATTAAAAGTTTTAAAGAGTATAGTATATTTTTTATCCACGAATGACCACCATTATGCTATTATGTCTATTAAACAGTAACTGTCAGCTGTCAATTTTTTGCCTGTATGATAATCACGTACTGTGCATAAGTGACTGTGCTTACTGAATACTAGGAGTCGGTTAATATGCACTAGCTCAAAAGAAGATGTCATTGATAGAGGAATCTCTCTTATTGGGGACTTTCCATTTTCCTTGATAATATCACGCTATGCACTATGTACAGTCAACATGGTGAGTGATACTGAAAACTTTTATAATCAGATGATAATTACCATGATTAACATTTAATTTATCTATATGACTTTCATGGTAACTTCGGTACTGCTCGCTCTTTTGCAGGGCAAAATGATATAGTTTGATGAAATATGACCTAAAAGTAATTGTTAAATATATACGTCATTTAATTATCACTCAACAAAAACTTCGCCAAACGTTAATTTTTTGCCCTGCAAAAGAGTAGTACTGCAGTTACCGTGAAGGGGCTAATAACTATGACATTGGAAAGAGGTGTAACAATACCGTATATATATTGATCCTATTCAGGGAGGGGGGGTGTCCTAGTTTAGAAGGATTGATCCATATATCACATACTCAGACACATAGGCGCTCCCCGTGTAAATCTGTAAATGACAAAATATAAGTATATATATAGGTCTACCCCCTCTATACTATAAAATGATTTTATAGTATAGATGGGGTATATATTTCGTCAATGACAGATTTACATGGGGAGTACCTATGATTTATCAGATTCTTAGAAGAGAGCTTGATGGCCCTGTCTATCTACCTGTTAACAAAGAGTCCATAATCTTCTTTGTGTACCTCGTTTGCCATTTATTCTGTTCACCCATTTAGAATAATACTGTGTGTGTACATGAATTAGGGCAATCTAATTAAAATGAGGCGATCAAACTGGAGTGGATCCAAGATCTAATTTTAATTAGATTCTGATCCTATTAGGGATTAGGGAATTAGGGTATTCAAAATTTAGTGCAATCACTGGGTATTGAGACATTTGAGTTGTTGGTGTATTCATGCATCAGCACTTTACACTTCATCGTCGGAAACCCACGGGTGATCTCGTCTTTACGTATCACCCGTGGGCAAACTAGCTGAATTATCCCCATAAAATATGCTAATTTGTTGTTTTTAGTCAACCAATCAGAAAGTTGGAACTCTTCAATTTTGAAAAATTTGTTTATTACTTTGTTATTTATGGTAAATATTTTGACGCTCGTTAAAACATGCGAAGTTTGATTTAAAACAATGAAAGTCAATTCGTACAGGTCACTGACATTAATATCTGTCAGATATTTTATAGGAGTACCTCTTTCTAACTGCAAAATGCCCTAGTGAGTGGATTTATCAGCTATGTTAAGTTTTTCATGTTTTTGGCAATGCCGAACATGCATACATATCGTGAACTGTGATTCGTTGTTTCACATCGCGACTCTGTGATGCGGCCAATCAAATGACCCATGCATAATTAATTACATACGACGATTTTTCGGCGAGTTTGCCCACGGGTGATAAGTAAAGACGAGATCACCCGTGGGTTTCCGACGATGTTCACACTTCTGCACTTTATATTGTATTTATATATGATTTCTTTGTAGCAATATTCATGAATTAGCACATCAATATCTGCACCAAAGCCGATAAAATATGAAGCCACATTTTAAAGTATACTACAGTTATCAATGACATGTAAATATTTTTGTTGATGATCTTCTTAACAATATTTATATAACTTTTATTTTATTAACCAAATTACATATTTACTTTTATTTCCACTTTTAGAAATAGTATCAAAGGCTTAATTGATTTAATAGTTGTTAATTTAAATACTGTGAATTAGGGAACACTAAGTCTTTTTAAAGATTCATGTACATGTAATATGTTTTGAAAAAGTAACCATGATAACCAAATTGAGATGGCCATTTTTCAGATTGACTTGAGCAGTTTCACAGCAGAGGCATTTATTTTTAAAAAAAATTGTTTACTCTCAAATTTATAAATATTATAATGTTTTCTTGGTTAACTTATATAATATGCACAACATTATTTATAAATCAGTGTGTACTGTAAACCAACTTTTATTCATATGCAAGAAATATTTGCGAGTTTCGCTACTTTATCTTGGGAATATTAATCGCAGCGAACCAAATATTTTGCTTTGTGTTTATATAGAATGTCCTATCTGTTGCGAAAATTAATTGTCGCAGTTTGATTTCAAATTGACGATTTACAAATAAAAGATGACACAAATAATAGTTGATTTACAGCTTTTTTTCTCACATAATGATTGATAACAGATCACAACTGAAACAGTTTAAAATCATATATTGCTATGGTAAATAGATGTTCTGCAGGCCAATAAAGTTAAGATTTCATCTAGAATTGATAAAGGTATATTTTGTGTTTGTAACTTTTGTGATTTTTTACTGGTTTGTTTTTCTTCCTAGTACTCAGGTACTTTTAATTCTAAAATTTCTACAGTTACTGTACTGTATAAAATTGTTTCTGAATAATGACTGAGTATCAAATGACTTCCTGTGTTTTATAAAATGTACAAAATTAATGAAAACATTATACATGAGCATGTTGAGTTCAAGCCCTTCAGGTAAAAATTTAAATCTATTGAACTGATTAAGAACACTCCCACTTCTCAAGTAGCTGTACAGAAAAAAAAATAGGTCTGTATAAAGACTTTTCTCTGTATAAAACTTCCTCTACATGTAGTAGTGAATTAAGTTACTACAGGGTACTTTAAAAGTAAATATACTTTTCTTTTACTTTTAGATTTCCAGGCTGAGTATGGATGGAACTGAATCTTTCTGCTCATCAGTGTTAGAAGATGAGGAAGATTCCTCATCATATTCCAGTGAGAAGCATTCTGGCAGCCTCATCAAAAACTTTGAGTACTTCAGAAAAGAAGGGGGCTATAATGATGTCACACTACAAGTTGGGCAGAAATCTTTTCCTTGTCATAAGATCATTTTAGCTGCCGGTTCCCCCTATTTTAAATCTATGTTTGAGTCTGGTATGGAAGAGAGCAGGAAGACTTGTATAGAGATCAAGGAAGTTGATGAAAATGTTTTTGAGAAGCTACTTCATTTCATTTACACTGGGAAGGTAGATATTTCTTCTTTAATCCTACAAGAACTTTTTGGACAATCCTGTATGTTTCAAGTTACAGCTTTAGTTGATCTGTGTGTGAGACATTTCCGTCTGCACATGACAGAGAATAACTGCTTAGTGGCACTCACACTAGCTGATTCACATGCTCATAAGCATTTATATAACTATGCTAAGGAGTATGTGTGCATGAATTTCAAAGTTGTTTCTCAGGAGGAGGACTTCTGCAGGCTGTCAGCAGATTGCATCAAAGATATTCTCTCTGACAGTAAACTGGACTGTGATGGGGAAGAGCAGGTTTTCGAGTTTGCCATTAAGTGGCTAGATTTTGAAGGAGAGAAAGAAAAAAGGAAAAATTCTGTGTTCAAGATACTGAGCTGTGTTAAGTTTCCTCAGATGAAAAGAAGTTATCTCACAAGTGTTGTGGCAAAATCTCCATACCTAGCAGACGATGAGGGGAAGGAATTGATGGAAAATGCAATGATCTATCACCTGCTTCCTGCCAGAAGACCAATGCTGCCCTCTTACCAGATCACTCCAAGATCATCAACAACATCAGCAAATGTAGAGGTCGCTGTCCTTCTTGGAGGTCGTCTTGCAGATGGATTGAGTAATGATGTTGAGTGCTTCAAGTCAGATTCCAGGGAATTTTTTGCTCTGAAACAGCTGCCTTTCAAGAAAAGGAATGAATTTGCTGCATGTGTTCTGGGTAACGACATCTATGTTTCAGGAGGCTTGAGGAGTGGAGAGTTCTGGAAGTTTGATTATGACTTCGCAACCTGGATTCGAGGAACCAGTCTATTACAGCCCAGACGAAGACATGCTATGGCCCCAGTGGATGAAAGTATCTATGTTTTGGGAGGATTTGATGAAGACAGTGTTTTGCATTCTGTGGAAGTCTGGAAACCTGGAAGTAAGCAGTGGAAGTTTTATGGAAGTCTAGCTAGTCCTGTGGAGAACATGGGTTATGTGGCATATGCCAACTGTATTTTCCTTTTTGGAGGGAAAAACCAAGAAGAGGTGGTGACTAACACTGTCCAATGCTTTGATACTGAAACGGGCCAGGGGACGGTGTTAGAACAGTCCTTGCCTGCGTCTGACATGTGTGTCAGTGCAGCAGTGTTGAATAATTACATTTATGTTGTTGGGCTAGAGGGTTCCTTCAAATTCCATCCAGACAACAAAACTTGGGATGTTTTACCAGACATGTCATGCCCAAGAGACTTTGTTAGTCTTACAGTTCTGGATGAGAAACTATATGCTTTTGGTGGAAGGAGAAGAGGGGCACAGTCAGATTTGTATACTGACATCATTGAGTATTTTGATCCTGAGAAAAATGTCTGGGAAAGGTGTGGGACCATTCCTGTTCCAATGTATTCCTATGGATGTGTCCGTGTCATTCTTGGAGAAAATTATTTGAATGCAGGCACCAGCAACCTTGCCAACAGCTGAACATTATTCTAAATTCTGACTGTCTGTATTTAAAAAGAATAAGGCCTAAAAAAAAATTATATTTGTTTCCTGTAACCCGACCGACCCATTCAAAACTGCGTTTGATCAATCATCTGATTCCATTTATTAAAAAAAAATTAGCTTGTAGCTTAACTTGAGACATAAAATATTTCAACCTACTTTACATTTACCTTAAATATGAAGAGTAATCATTATTGTAACAACGATTTCCCCCAACAACTTTCTGAAGTTCGTTTTCTGCGGCTAGGCAGCCATTTTGGGTGCCATGTTGGGTGTCCATTGTAAATATAACACCTGCTGGCATATTCAGTCCAGGGATGTTTGACCATTCATAAGCAATGCAAAAAAAAAAGAATTCCCGACCTATGGACCCTTGATTTTTGGGGAATGGTACAGGAAACAAACCTACCTTTAATCCTAACTTAATTTAGTCACATCTAGCTGCAGTCTTGCCTTTCTTGATGACACAAATATTTTACATAGTTTAAACATCATATATTTGATAAAATATCTGTTGCTGTACCAGGATGGTTTATGTGATACATATTTCTTTTCTGGTTCTAAATTTAGTGTAATACATGTATGTGTATATATATGTATTATTGTATATGAATTATATGCATATTCTAAATCTAAATATGTAATCCCTGTAATGTATCTTTGTTTGATTTTTTTCATGAAGATGTTGAAACATACTTCTTGAAAAACTAAGATGGGGATAATTTCATAATTAATGTCTGTCTCTCGTATAGAAAATTTTAATATAATAATTTGATATCCATTTATATAATGTTGTATATACTTGTATTAGTATACCCATATTTGTTTTGTTTCTTGTATTTTTTTTTAGCTCTACTGGTCAGAGACCAGAAGAGCTTATGCGATAGTAATGCGTCCGGCGTCCGTCCGTCTGTCTGTCTGTCCGTCTGTAAACAATTTTTCAAAACGCTACTCCTCCTACAATTTTAGTTTGATTTCAGCATAACTTGGCACACAAGTAGACTACACTAAGATACATAGAATAGTGCATCGGTTTTTGATTTCGATGAACGGTGTTGCCATGGTTACTCAAAATAGAATTTTCTGTGGAATTCCTTAAAAACGCTACTCCTTCTACAGTTTTGGTCTGATTTCAATATAACTTGGCACACAAGTAGACTACACTAAGATACATAGAATAGTGCATCGATTTTTGATTTCGATGAACGATGTTGCCATGGTTACTAAAAATAGAATTTTCTGTGAAATTCCTTTAAAACGCTACTCCTTCTACAGTTTTGGTCTGATTTCAATATAACTTGGCACACAAGTAGACTACACTAAGATACATAGAATAGTGCATCGGTTTTTGATTTCGATGAACGGTGTTGCCATGGTTACTAAAAATAGAATTTTCTGTAAAATTCCTTTAAAACGCTACTCCTTCTACAGTTTTGGTCTGCATGATTTCAGTATAACTTGGTACACAAGTAGACTACACTTAGATACATAGAATAGTGCATCGGTTTTTGATTTCGATGAACGGTGTTGCCATGGTTACTAAAAATAGAATTTTCTGTGAAATTCCTTTAAAACGCTACTCCTTCTACAGTTTTTGTCTGATTTCAATATAACTTGGCACACAAGTAGACTACACTAAGATACATAGAATAGTGCATTGGTTTTTGATTTCGATGAACGGTGTTGCCATGGTTACTAAAAATAGAATTTTCTCTGCAATTCCTTAAAAACGCTACTCCTTGTACAGTTTTTGACTGATTTCAATATAACTTGGCAGACAAGTAGACTACACTAAGATACATAGAATAGTGCATCGGTTTTTGATTTCGATGAACGGTGTTGCCATGGTTACTAAAAATAGAATTTTCTGTGAAATTCCTTAAAAACGCTACTCCTTCTACAGTTTTGGTCTGATTTCAATATAACTTGGCACACAAGTAGACTACACTAAGATACATAGAATAGTGCATCGGTTTTTGATTTCGATGAACTGTATTGCTATGGTTACTCAAAATAGAATTTTCTGTGGAATTCCTTAAAAACGCTACTCCTTCTACAGCTTTTGTCTGATTTTAAAAGAAGTTGGCACATAAGTAGACTACACAAAGATACATAAAATAGTGCAATGGTTTTTGATAAGTACAAACCAGTAGAGCTACAGTCTCGACAGAGACTTCTGGCCAGAAGAGCTTATGCGATAGTAATGCATCCGGCGTCCGTCCGTCTGTCTGTCTGTCTGTCTGTAAACAATTTTTCAAAACGCTACTCCTCCTACAATTTTAGTCTAATTTCAATATAACTTGGCACACAAGTAGACTACACTAAGATACATAAAATAGTGTATCGGTTTTTGATTTCGATGAACGGTGTTGCCATGGTTACTAAAAATAGAATTTTCTGAGAAATTCCTTTAAAACGCTACTCCTTCTACAGTTTTGGTCTGATTTCAATATTACTTGGCACACAAGTAGATTACACTAAGATACATAAAATAGTGCATCGGTTTTTGATTTCGATGAACGATGTTGCCATGGTTACTAAAAATAGAATTTTCTGTGAAATTCCTTTAAAACGCTACTCCTTCTACAGTTTTAGTCTCATTTCAATATCACATGGCACACAAGTAGACTACATTAAGATACATAAAATAGTGCATTGGTTTTTGATTTCGATGAACGATGTTGCCATGGTTACTAAAAATAGAATTTTCTGTGAAATTCCTTTAAAACGCTACTCCTTCTACAGTTTTAGTCTCATTTCAATATCACTTGGCACACAAGTAGACTACACTAAGATACATAAAATGGTGCATCGGTTTTTGATTTCGATTAGCGGTGTTGCAATGGTTACTAAAAATAGAATTTTCTAAGAAATTCCTTTAAAATGGTACTCCTTCTACAGTTTTGGTCTGATTTCATTATCACTTGGCACACAAGTAAACTACACAAATTTACATATAGTAGTGCATCGGTTTTTGATTTCAATGAACGGTGTTGCCATGGTTACTAAAAGTAGAATTTTCTGTGGAATTCCTTTAAAATGCTACTCTTTCTACAGTTTTGGTCTGATTTCAATATAACTTATCACACAAGTAGACTACACTAAGATACATAATTCTGTGCATCGGTTTTGATCAGTATAAACCAGTAGAGCTACAGTCTCGACAGAGACTTCTGGTTTAAATTTTATCATACTGTGTTCAGTCAAATAAGTTTATTGATTTAGTCATAAATATTGAGTCATGAATATTATGCACTTGAAATCTTTGGGCTCTATACAGATATTGCCAGTATATGATATATTTATGCCCTTGCCATTTATTTGTTTGTTTTTTGCTCATTTTTTACATCTAATCTAGTGTGGCATAACTTTTTTTCTAAGCACTAGCTCAATAGGTGTAGTAAATTAGGAAACTTAAAGGCAATTTCTTACTAGTCTGAATCACTTTTATTAGCCCTAAAATTTTTTTAAAAAATAATATTTTTTAGTTTGCTCCATTTCATTCGATTTGATGTAACTTTTAAATCATACTATTTTAACTTAATCTCATTTCCCCCCTTTCCCAGAATAGAATAGTGCTAATCAAATGTTAACATTGTATAAATATTTACAGATGTCATGTACTTAAATTTTGAAAAATGAATTTTATGAAATGACTTTATACATGTACTTGTACTTTATGTTCACAAAGCTTTGAATTTTCATTTGCTCATTGTGAATATGCAAAAGATGGGAGATTGATTACCCCGTGTTTACCACTATATATGAGCTGTTCTTTTTTTCAAATTTTGATTTGCTTTACATGTAAAATTTGCTATTTTGCTAATTACACTGTAGCTACTTGTACATTAAATCTTTACAATCAGTAAGACTAAAACTAAGCATCACTGTTCACGTTTTGTACAATGTATGAAGAATTTTTTTTTACAATAGAATATGTTGTGTTACATAATACTAGTAAATCAATCTTTGTACTGGATAGCGAAAATAGAAATCTGCTCAGATTTGATCTTTTAAATAGATTTTTTAAAAATAAATGAAATATGTAAAGCAGTAGAAGCTAGTTCTTCTTCTGAAACTATTATAAATATGACAGTACTTAAATTTGTATCCTAAAAAATCACTAAAAACTGTATTTTGGTATTGCTTTAAGAACTTGAAATTGTTTGCTAGTACATGTAATGTGCGCTTTTACAGTACTTAAACTTTGCTATGAATAAATCTTTCCTAAAAGGAAGTAAAAAATCGCAACCATGTTCAAAATTATTTGACAACCTATTTATGGATATCTGGGAAGGATTTATATGTTCTGGAGATTTTATAAAAGCAAGGTTTACTGTGTAGATAGAGTAATTATATTGACATCACATGTATTTCCTGCTTGTAAAATTATATGAATGTTAAACTGTCATGTTAAGAAGTCAAATTTTATTGGTTAAAACAGTTGTTAAAAAAGTAATTATTACTTTTTTTTGTTTTTCATTACATGAATATTAAAATAAAAAAAATGTGATGTCTTTGAAACTGAAACATCTTGTAAAATAACATGGATCTGTAAACTATGATCGAATGTTTGGTTCAACTGAATTTATGAATTCAATTATTTAAAAAATGTATTTGTAGTTAATATTACACTAGTAAACACTAATCCCTCGGAGGACTAACCCCAAATCTCCTAGGGGGTCCAAGCCTATCCTTTATTCCTCGGATGGGCGCAAGACCAACCCTTATCAATCACAGGTGCTTGATGTCTGTGTTATCAATGAAAAACGTGTGTAAGTACTACCCACAATCTCAGAGACTGGCGCAATACTAGTTCCCACAATGTATCCCAGTGAGCTTGTTATAAAAGACATAACAGAGTCTGACACATCTGTTTCATATTTGGATATTTTACTTGATGAAGACGTTAATGGTAATCTAGCAACCAGCCTCTATGATAAACATGATGACTAACTTTTCTATCGTCAACTTCTTTTACTTATGTGTATGCAGCAATATACCCTT